TTTTATGTAGATGCTAGAAACATTAAAATTTATACACATGATCGTAAGAACCTAGGCTACAAATTGATGTAAAAAAATATTTTTATGCTATGCAAAATTTTGCGGAATTATCAAAAAGGTGCGTCCGGATACTTTCTTCCAGGTGTACGTGTAACACCAAACACTGGGTTTCCTGATGCTAATGTAATGCTTTTCGCAGTTTATTAATTTCACTTATATTATTGTATTTCAAAATTTGAATAAAACCAAGAACATCAAAATCATATAATTAAGACATTAAATTTTTTCCGATACATAGCTAAAGATTATTTATTTTTCTAATACTGTATACATTATAAAAGCAATGTTTAGATATTATGTATTCATACACCACGACGTACTGCATAAATGATTAAAAGGTAAAACCAAACACAGACAAACTATTATTCATTTTGATATTCTAATACTACTTGCTGAATTTCATAGAGATCAATAATAAAATTACCACCAATAATTGCAGGACGAGCAACCAACGGAACATATCCAATGGTTGGGATTGGTGGATCCCAAAAAGTATCACTTATTGGGATATTGATCTGATATGCTGGATTACCCGGAGCGTTACACTCTGTAGGGATATTATTGCCTTTTTCTACAGTCCCAAAAGACCACTGTTATTTAAGGAAAAAAATGTATTACAAACATCAAAAGAAATAAAAATAAAAAATAAACTGAATCCCTCAACCTCAAACAGTTTGACTTACCGTTTGGGTCTGCATTCCCCGTCTCCACAACTTAGCCTAACATTCAAAAAGTTTTTTAGAACGTCAACTGTGAAACTATGAAATAATAAAGCAGTTAAAAGATCTATGTATATACCTTCATTCTACGATTAAATTTTCCTTGTGCATTTCATGTGGTTCTTAAATCATAGATCTTTATTCCTAAGACGCATCGTACGTATTGCTGAAGCATCCAAAGTGTACACTTGTCCTTCCATCCACGAACACTTTGACTAATTGCAACCTCACAAATTATCCTAGCATGAGGATTCCCCTAAAAAAGTATAGATATTAAAAGATCATATATAAAACAGACATGGTAATATACAACACCAAATCCAAAATACCCTAGTGTCACTTGGAGGAGGTCCGAGATAGGTAGGTCCAGAATTGGGACGTGGAATATATGTTCGACTCGGATATACTGCTACATCCGGTGCAATAATAAGTCCATCTGCATTTGGTGAAGGATGGTCTATAAAGAAGGACGTAAGCTATTAGAAAATCAATAGCGAGTCAAGATCAAGCAAGCAGGGATTTTCTTACATGGTTGGCCACAAACGCGTATAGGTGGATTAATGATAACGCCACCATTTGGGATTTTAAAATAATCCAGCAACAGTGTAATGACAAATTCGTGTTCAGCTGTACACATTTCTACGATAAAAACGTCACCGTTCTTATACTCAAACTTGTAACCGGATGACTCGTAGCTTTCAAGAAATTTATTGTAGTTTTTTATCGATACATTTGATCCGATAATAAAAGGTAAGCTGCAATTCATGAGTTAGTTAACACAGTTAACACCAAGTAGAACTTAAAGTAACATGCGTGATCCCCACTAACCTATTTTCTTCTGGAGGTTTCTTTGGTAATTTTGGGAGTTGGAATTGTTTTTGAAGCTTCTCGGTTAATTGACAAAACATTTTCATTTTGAGTATTTAAGAAAGTTTAAAGTTTAAATAAAAATATGTTGGATGGATTTTTTTTTAACTATGCGTCACACAAGATAATTTGGCTATATTAAAATTTATAACTTAAGATCATCATCATCATCTATGAAGATATAAATTATTCCATTGTTATATCATCTAATTCTATGGAACAGGCTTAGTTCTGATGGTTCTCTAGGCGTTTTTTTAAAGCATTTCAGCTTGGAACTATAATTTGCTAAGAAAATAAATTTCATTGAAAGCAACTCTATTTATAAACAGGTTATAGCATAAATTTTAACAAATAAAATAATGTTCAATGTCACAATCAAAAAAAGAGGCAAAGTGGTCACAACCAGGTGTTGCAAACATTTTTATATGATGTAAAGGTGATTGCAACCACCATCAAAAGGTGCAGCCAGTATCCTTAAAATAACAAAATCCTTGTTGCTATAAAAGTTGAATAATGATGGCGTGATTTGAACATGTTGCAAAAAATCTGGGGATAGCCATCCTATTTACATGTTTCAAATTTAATAAAATATACTATTGTCTTGACCCAAATGATGTGATTTCACAATGAAGAAGACACAATCTAAACACAATGTTAACAATAAATAAATTTTGATCTCACATAGCACATAATGATGATGACAAAAATTTTGACTTTAAACATTGATGTAACTAAAGTATTGACTAAAGGTAGTTTCTCTCCAGGGCCATTTTGACAATTTGACTGCAAGTGGATACAAGTAAAAACACTTGATACAAGCAGCAATAATGATAATGATAAAAAATGTGTACCCAGGGATGGATAAAGAGTTATTATCATTGTATGTATATTGTGATGATGTAAGAAGAATAATTATCACAATTTTTATAATTTGAACCAGAAATTTTAATTACTAAAACCAAATTATCTTTACATACATATGAGTTGTGTTAAATTGATGTTTTTCAAATTTTTGACTTTTGAAGTTAACTACATGTAATAGTAATATGCAATAACATCAATAATATGCCTGAGTTGTCTTTAGTGTCTGAGTTTGAAGCAACATAGGTTGATTAATATTGGTGCCTCGAACAACCTTTACATAGCACATGTGACATGTTTTGGTACATGTTTTAATCACTTTTAAATCTAAAATTCTTTTATTGTTGAATCACTAGAGTTTGCTGGTGATGAGGTAGTTCTTTAAATAATGCAATTTTCGCTTTTAATTTACGTTCTTATCAAAGAGAAAAATTTGAGGGCAATCAAACAAACTATAAAAAATGTTACATGTAATAGTAACAAGTTAATTAGTTTCGACTAAATAAAACTAAATAAATAAAATAGTAATATTTTATTTAAATAAACTATCATCTTCCTTAACCAAAATTATTT